TTGGGCCCTAATCTTTGTGACCTAGTCCATACCTAATTCTACCTACATCTACCATGCCCATTACTGTGCTTAAGTGAGGAATTAAATTTAGCCTTTTACTCGAGAAGAAAAATAGCGGCGGTTTTCTTGGCTTTGCTATGTGATCTCTGCCTTCTTTGCTTAGTGCTCTCTACTGTGCTATTTTTCCCTCACCGTTCTACAGCCTTGGTGGCTATTCTTGTGTGGCTATTAATATCTCCATTTTCAGTTCTAGTTAGAGCAAAGAAACTGAGAGCAACCGGTCTTTTGTTTTTGGCTTTTGGTTTGGGTTTTCTTTTGTGGTGTCGATTGGGAAATACTGAGCTCGGTATCTTGGTGCAAAACAAGAGGTTTTGCTTCACAATTTTTGTAGGACTTTTGATACACATTTATCCATCCATAAAAATTGTGCCTCGTGAAGAAATGGTCCTTTAGCTTGTGTTTTTTTTATAGATAATATGCGATTAAAAAATAGGAAAAAATTTTAAAAAAATGGGGCTCAAATAGGGGCTTCATTTCTAACTACGTTACCCGACCAAGACTATTACTGCCTTTTGTTGACCTATAGTTGATTCATCCTTAATGTTTTGATCATAACAAACAAGATTAATATTATTTTTAACAATTGATTTTGAACGATGATAGTTCAATGTTAAAATCAATCAAGCATTATCAAAATTAACACATCATAAATCGGACTCGAAATAAAGATCATAAATCGGACTCGAAATAAATCATTTGAGGCGAGAGCTTATATTATCAAAATAAAGACTATCAAATCGAGCTCATGAAGAAGAACAAGATCAAGATTTAAGAGCCAAACATGAAAGAAACTTTGAAACAAGATCAAAGGCTATACTTTCGAGATCATATGTAAAAGTATAACGCTTTGATCTTTAATAATGAATGACAATAGCTCAAAAATCATTTTGTGCATGAAAAGTTATTTTCATATCACTTACATATAATTTTTTTTTATCAAAAGCAAGATTGATCTTTCAAACTGTACTTGAATTAGATCAAATAAAAAAAAAGTCAACGGTCAATCGGTTGACCAAATGGTCGACAGGCCAAAGGTGGCGGTAGATCGGACGTCTCCAACGGTCAGATTTTTTACCGTTCTGACCTCTAATTTTTCTTTTACAAACGGTCATATTAGTCATCCGAAAATCGACGGTCGACCAGACCGGTCATCCGGTTTGACAGGAAATTTGAAGTTTTTTTCATCTCTCTATATACTAACTCTCTTATAATTTATGAGATACTTTTGAGCATTCAATTGATATTCCTTTAGACAAACATTGTTTTGATTTCTCATATAACTCATTATCAAATCACTTTACAAT